ATAAATATATATAATAAATATTAACTTTTAAATATTTATTTTTAATATCGAAGAAAAGGACAGTCTTAATACAACTGGATGTCCTATTCTGATGTTTTAAAATTAAACAATATTATTTAAATTAATATTTATCAATATCAAAGAAAAGAGTTGTCTTAAGGCACCTAGAAGTTCTTTTCGGATATTTTTAAATAAATATTTTTTTTTTACAATTTTGAAATTATAAGATTATAAATTAAATATATTTTTGAATTTTTAAATTTTTAATAATAGAGACAATTTATAATTAAAAAGTACCAATTTTGGGCGTTGTAGGGGTGCTAATCCTTCCCTAAACGTAACCGACCACGAATCCCTTTTTATTATTAAAAAGAATGAATTTTTGGTTATAAAACGCAGATCAGTTCAATTTTTTAATTGATGTTTTCTTAAAACTCTTTTAAAAAATAATTTTTAGGTATTCGACCTACCTGATCCAAAAAGGCCGATGGCGACTCACAAATTATTTTCAAAATTATTTATTAATATTAATTTCCCCGCCAAATTTTAATATTTCGTGCCCGGACGAAAGCCGGTTACGACAGAGGAGAAAGAACAAAGTCTGCAACACAATGGGGATTCCGATCACAGGGAACGTGCAAGTAAAGCCGAGGCGGAAATTTTAACCTTGAAGAATACTCTTGCTAGATTAGAAGCAGAAAAAGAAGCTGGCTTACTTGAGTACCAGCAGAGTTTGGAGAGAATGACAGCTCGGGGGCTAAACGAACGAGCAAGTAAAGCCGAAGCCGAAGTTCAGACATTGAAGGATGTCCTCGCCAAATTAGGAGCTGAAAGGGAAGCCAAACTTGTTCAATACCAGATATGCTTGGAGAAGATAAATAATCTTGAGAATAGTCTTTCTCATGCTCTAAATGAAGCTGCAGAACTGAATATGCGAGCTAGTGAAGCTGAAGTCAAAGCTCAAGCCTTAATCAAGGACCTCGCCCGTGTAGAAGCTGAAAAGGAGGATTCTATAGCTCGATATAAGCAGTGTTCGGAGACGAAATGCAATCTGGAAGAAAAATTATCGAATGCTGAAGAATGTGCCAGAAGGATGACTGAAAGAGCTGAGAAAGCTGAAAGTGAACTTGAAACTTTAAAGCAAGTAGTTGTTGAACTGACCAAAGATAAGGAAGCGGCTGCTCTTCTCGGCAGTGCTTAGAGACAATTTCCAGCCTGGAAATGAAACTTGCTTGTGCCCAGGAGGACATCGGAACTCGAAACCAGGGTTTAGAGGATGAACTGCAGAGAGTCAAGGAGGAGAACAAAGACCTGAATGAACTCAAATTAAGTTCAGCAATGTCCATCACGAATTTGCAAGATGAGATCTTAAGCTTAAGGGAAACTATAGCAAAACTTGATGCAGGGGTTGAACTTAGAGTGGATCAAAGAAATGCTCTTCAGCAAGAGATTTACTGTTTGAAAGAGGAACTCAATGAATTTAACAAGAGACATCAGGATATGACAGGGAAGCTGGAGTCGGTTTGCTTAAATCCGGAAAACTTTGCATCATCTGTGAAGGCATTGCAGGAAGAGAACACAAAGCTAAAAGATGTCTGCAAAAGAGACAGTGATGAAAAGCTGGCCATTCTACAGAAGTTGAAACTCATGGAGGAACTTGATGAGAAAAATGCCCTTCTGGAGAATTCACTCTCGGATTTGAGTATCGAGCTAGAAGTTGTTCGGGGGAGAGTAAAGACACTGGAAGAATCATGTCAATCTCTTTTGAAAGAGAAATCCATCCTTATTGTAGAGAAGGACGCACTCATTTCTCAGTTACAGATTGCTACTCAGAATTTGGAGAAGCTTTCAGAGAAGAATAACTTTATGGAGAATTCCCTTATTGATTCAAGTTCTGAACTTGAAGAATTGAGGGAAAAATTAACAAGCTTAGAACATTCATGCATGTGTCTTGGTGACGAGAAGTCTGTCCTGATAACACAGAGAGAATATGAAGAGGAGCTGCACAAAGCCATGAATGCTCAGGTAGAAATTTTCATCCTGCAGAAATGTGCAGAAGATCTGGAAGAGAAGAATGTATACCTATCGCTCGAGTGTAGGAAACTCTTAGAAGCCAACAAAGTATCGGAAAAGTTCATATCAGAATTAGAGACTGAAAATTCCGTAAACCAGATGGTGATGAAATCCGTATGTGATCAAATTAGCATGTTGAGGATGGGGCTTTATCAGATGTTGACGACTCTTGAGATTGATGTTATTCATGGCTATGATGATAAAATCAAAGAAGACCAATCACTTCTTGACTGTGTATTTGGAAGACTTCAGGAGATGCAAGATTCACTTACCAAGTCCCGGGACGAAAATCAACAACTTGTAACTGAGAATTCAGTTCTTATCACACTGCTTGGGCAGCTGAAACTAGAGGCTGAAAATCTTGTTAGCGAGAAGAATTCACTGCATCAGGAGTTAAGGCTCAAGTCTGAGCTGTTTTTTTATCTGTATAGCAGAACTGAGAAACTTTCCGATCTGAATGAAGAATTGAGATGCAAAGAGACAGAAGGAGGCCAAAGAGAAGAAGTTTTGCAGACTAAAATAGGGGGTGTTCATGAATAACATAATCTAGAAGAGGAAAACTTGGAAAATGCACTTTTGGAAGAACAACAAATGCTCAGTGCAAGTCACGAGGAGAGAGGCCAGTTGCAAAAAGTTGTGGAGGATCTGACGAGTAGATATGATGAGGTCATGCTGTCGGGAGAAGATCAAAAGAGTCAAATTCCGAAACTATCCAGAGATTATGATCGTCGAAGTATGGGGACCGAAAGCATTCATCATGTTAATAAGAAAATTGAGACAGAACTGTTGGAGTTGAATGAGGAAATTGACGAAAGTAAACATTGGGAGGAGAGTCTGAGTGTTGAACTACAAAAGGAACTTTGGGAAAATCAGGCTGATGCATTCTTTCTTGAGAATCAGATTTCTGCTGTCCATGAAGCCTTGCTTGAACAGAAAGCTCATGAGATATGTAATGAATGCGAAATCCTTGGAAGAAATTCCAAAGCTGTGAGGGTAGAAGAGCTGGAAATAAGTGTTAGAATTTTGGAGCATAATAATGGAGGACTTGAAGCTCAGTTGGCAGCAGCACATAATCCAGTTATTGTTTCTCTCCTAGAGAGCATGACATCTTTGGAGAGTGAAACTCTCTTGCATCCTAAACTTTCCTCGGGTTATAATGAAGAGTTCAAGGTAATGTCTGTTTGCTTGCTTGTGACTTCATGTCTATAACTTTTAATAAACCAATGCAAGATTGCCTTCTTCATGCTATTTGATTAAATATTAAATTTCAGTTCTAATTCAACCACACTTTGGGGCCTGTATGAGCATCTAGTGGTTTATTTATACAGCAATTGATATTACTCCTTTCCATGCTTTTTTAACTCAGTTGCTTCTATATAATACTTGCATACTGAAAACTGTGTTTCTCTTACAATTCTCTTGTTTTCCAGGACAAAAAGTCGGGGACCGATTTGCGTGCTGAACAAATAAGCGAATATCAAATTGCCTCAGTTTCACATGTTTTTTCTGACTTGCAAGGTATCCATCTAAGAATTAAAGCTATTGAAACAGCAGTGGTGGAAATGGAAAGGCTTGCAGTGCTGGAAAACATTAATCTCAATTCCAAACTAGAGACCGCTATGAGACAGATTAAAGAGTTAAGATCTGGAAACAGCTCACGTCGAGAAAGTATTACAGCAAAGGGGCACGTAAATGCTAGACAAGAAGGGAGGGAACTTAGCCATGGACTCGGTAGCATTGTTGAAATTCAGAGACCAACAACTGAAATATCTGAAGAGGACAATGAGATGATGACAAAAGACATTATGCTTGATCAAATATCCGAGTGCACATCATATGTGATAAGCAGGAAAGAAACAGACGAGGTTAATAATCAGATGCTTGAGATTGGGGAAACCGTCGAGCATGACGGTAGTGCAAACTGGAAAATAGGCAAGGCCCAGAATATGGTAACTGCAACAACTGACTACGAACAGATTGGTACGGTGAAGGGACACAAGAGCAGAAATCCCTCTACTGAATCTCTGGTGAAGGAGTTGGTTGTTGATAAAGAGGGCTCTGAGAGATTTACAAAGCCCAACCAAGAAGGAAGCAAGAGAAAGATCTTAGAAAGACTTGGTTCTGATGCACAAAAGTTGGCTAATCTTCAAATAACTGCGCAGGATCTAAAGAGGAAGGTGGAAATAACTGAGACAGGGGAAAAGGGGAAAGGAACCGAATATTGTATAGTGAAAAAGCAGCTAGAAGAAGCTGACGAAACCATCACGAAGCTAGGTGATGCCAATCGCAAATTGATGACACAGGTTGAAGACGGTTCCTGGTATCGTGATGGGAAATCTGCATTAGAATCTGATGAGATTGGGAGTGTTAGGAAACAGGGAGTATTGGAACAAGCTCAAAGAGAGTCTGAGAAGTTAAGATGCTTGCAATTGGAGTTGCAGAAAATACAGTTTCTCATACTGCAGCTTGATGATGGAAAAGGCAGCACGGTACGAACCAGAATCGCTGACAGTAAAATACGAGTTCAATTGCGGGACTATATTTATGGTGGGAGAAACATCCCGAAGAAGAAGAAAGCACGCTTTTGTGCCTGCGTGAAACCCTCAACTAAAGGAGATTGAGCAATAGCTATCATGAGCACTTCAGCAGGTGTACCTTACCAGTAATAAGACTTTAATTGCATTGCATACCTTTCTAGTTTTGTGTTTGACATTTCCATTCTTCTTTACTTATAGAGCCTGCTGTATATTTCAGGCACAATCTCATTGAAAGAAAATGCACATCAAATGTTTCCCTTAAACTTTAGTTGTATTGCCCATAAATATTTCATACCCGGATTTTGTTTGACATCAATTTGCCATTGTTGTGATGTGTTCAAGAATGCAAATTCATCTGTGCAGCTGAGTTATTACAACTGAAACCATATGTAGGGAAGAAAAATATTAAGACATGAGGCTTTTAATTTGCAGTCATTGAGCAACCAACAGCATGATCAAAACCTCCTCTAATGTCTACAAGAAAAACAATGGTACTTCATTTTTGTAAATGACAAGAATCATAGTTTCTTTAGGGGTGTACCCTATTAAACCTTTTCATAACACAACTGATACTCGACTCTATCTTTCAAATTACTTCGCTAAAGTTCTTTGTTCACTTTGCACCAAGTATTTTGCTATGTTTCCCCGCATGGTTTCACCTATTGGATCAACCTGCTTACAGCATTGCTCTCCATAACCTGAGTCATGGTGACCAGATAAGGCAACATCGGGATGCAACTGGTCTCCATTGTCAATGATGATATTATGAAGTAAACAACAAACCAAAATGATACTCGGTAATTTCCGCTTATCTGGTCTCCACATGACTTTGTTAAGAATTCTCCAACTGCCCTTTAACTGCAAGAAAGCCCTCACTGCAAGCAACCTCGCAACTTCATGCCTTGCATTAAAATTAGTAGATGTGGAGGAAGAAAGGCCATTACTTTCATATGGAGTTATGAGCCAGGGAAGCAGAGGATATGCAACGCCGCCAACTATGAATTCTCGCATTTCTAGCCCTTCTGATAAAGTCCTTGTGCTTCCATTCAAACGATCCCCAGCCTCACAAAGCCTGAAAAATCCTGAACATTTGAGTAGTCTTGACACGCTCATGCCACCAGGCCAACCTGTTACGATATCGAGAAATCGCATCTCATGGTCAACAATTCCCTGCAAGAACATACTGTAATTGCACTCTTGGTCACACCAATCATCTGATGTTTCAACGGCTGGAAGAGTCATGATGATATGTGTTGCATCTATAGCTCCACAACAATTAGGCAAACCATATAAAGCTTCAAATTTCGATTTAATTTCCTCCATTCTATTGGAATCAGGCCACTTAAGATGGTGCTTGGCACGTTCTTCTAATGCTTCAATGAATCTCCAAGTCACCTGAGAAACTGTAGATTGGCCGACACCAAAGGAAGCTCCAACTGATACCTGAGACTCGCCGGATGCTAACCTTCGCAGGGCAATTGCAACCTGTTTCTCAACACTTAGAAGCCTTCCCTCAATGTTGATGAGCCCTGATGGTGGCCTTGACACAAGGTCTTCTCTCACAAGGGAACAAATGTAATCAAATGTCTTCTTTGCAACCCTGAAGAAGTACTTGAACCCTTCCTCCTCATTTGATGGTATCGAAAGACCTGCCAGTTGGGGCTCACTTTCAATGAGATCAAACCAAAAACATTTCATTTCTCATTGTAAATCAGAGAAAATCAAATACCAAAAGAAAAAAACCTTTTCACTATTGCTCAAATATAATTCCTAAATTGCAGATCTTAAAACCCATTTGTCTGCTTAAAATAAAGGGCAAAGAAAAGCGGTTATCCAAGCTGAAAATACGATGCGCAGTTCAGCTTCAATCCGCAATTGACCATGTTAAAGGTAAGCAATCTAGCTCTTGGTATTAAAACTTGAAGGCCCACTACTTTAATTATCTTAAAGCTATCTGAAACAATAAAATAAAATTGGGAAACTATATAAGTTGAAAGTTTGAACCTGGAATCGTAGAGTTCTTGTGCCAGAAACTAACCCACCAATCGGGCTCGTTAACCCTGGGTTCCACTGGAACCACGCATACGCTTTTGTTTTTCTTCAATTTCTTGGATGATTTCTTCGTTTTCTTCGATTTCTTGAAAGGAGCCATCGAATAAACTTACTAGAATAACAGAATTCTTCCAACTGTCTTCTTTGCCTAGTTCTATGCCGGCGTTAACTTGAACTGGGTTTCACTTTGTCAGCATACGTTTGATGCACGAGAAACTGAAAGGGAGAAGTATCGAGCTCAGGGAAACCGTACACTGTATCTCTCAATTTGCTCTTGTCGTTTACTTCGGTTTAAATTTGCTAGGTGCCTCGTACGCTCTTTTAAAAATAAAAGTTTTAATCCACAATTTGTCCTTTAATTATTTTTTCTCAAAATAATTTTGGGAAAAGTACACAAATGTTCACTTGACAACGTGATAATACTTTGTTGAGTCTTCCAATTATTAGAAATTAAAAAATAGTCTTTAAGTTATAAGACTTTATTTTGTTGAGTCCCTTAACTCTTAAAAGTTACAAAATTATCATCCTACTATTCATGTGTTTCAAACTCATCTTTTTTCATTAAAAAATTAATGACCGTCTGAGTTGGATGTCAACTTGTTGACTAAGATATGATAAAATCTAATATCATAATCGTTTTAGTTATGTTTTGTGGATTGAATCTCTATTTACATTATGTCGTCAAAAAGTGCTTGAAACATTATATCAACGAGCCAATGCTTGAAAGTGTTGGCAGTGTTAGTAGAAATCATTAAAATGTAATTTTATCATATCGTAGTCAGTAGGTTAACTTTCAGCTCAGACGATTGTTAAATTTTTAACGGAAAAGATAAGTTTGGAATATATGAATAGTCAAGTGATTATATGTAACTTTTAATTGTAAGAGGACTCAACAAAACAGTGCATTATCGAAGATCATTTTATAACTTTTAATAGTTAAAAAACTTAACAAATAACACCCTATAATTAGGGTAATTTTTTTAAGAGGATGTATATTATTACAAAGAATGATTTTATAAGTGTTCCATCATAGTTAAAATTATCTATGATGATTTTTTTAGGTAAAGTACACAAATGGTATCATGACTATATGATATTGCTTTATTAAATCCATTGACTATTAAAAGTTACAAAATGATAATTCAATTATAGAGTGTTGCTTTATGGAGTCCCTCAACTATTAAAAGTTACAAAATATTCACTCGACTATTCATTATGTTCTAAAATCGTCTTTCTCTGTTAAAAATTAAATGTCATTTGAGTTGAACGTTAACATGATGACCACGATATGATAGTTGTTTGAGATTATAAGATCGAATTTTATCATATCACAGTTAATAGGTTAACATTCAACTGAGATTGTCATCAATTTTTTAACGAAAAATGACGAATTTGACACATAATGAATAGTCGAGTGACTAATTTGTAACTTTTAATAGTCGAGAGACTCAATAAAACAAAACTCTATAATCGGAGGATCATTTTATAACTTTTAATAATCGATGGACTTAATAAAATAGTATCATGTAATCGGGACTTAATTTGTGATTTCGTACTCTTATTGTTGGATCAATCCATATTTTAATAAAAATCATTACTAGAAAATAGAAAAGATCCGTGAAGAATCTATGGTTGAAATTTGAACATTTTTTAGTATTGACCATTGAAGCAAAAGGTGTGGCTCTTTGATCAGTGGCCAAGCCAAAAGGGAAAAAAGGACTATCAAAAGGGCAGGTTTTAGTTTGGTGGTCCTTCTTATCCCCAGCTGCATTGTGCCAGAGAGGAAGAACACTGGTTCTACTTCAAGGCTTGAACTTTTTGTCGTTTCAACTGGACATCTCAAATGCGCTGTCGGCTTTGGACGTTAACTACACCTTAAGACAGCCATGGTTGATACAACACAATTCTCTTCGGTCACCTCCATGGTTACCACTCCCATGCAACATTGCCAGCGCTGCATGGAACCACACTGTCTCCTGCTGGTATTTCCGTTGATTCAAACGCATATGGATTGCAGCAATTCATGCCTTTCACCTTATTTCAGTATTGAAAATTTTTATAATCTTAATTTGTTGTATCATATTTTTTTATTAATTCAAAGGTCTACAGCGGCAGACCACAAGCTAGACTAGGAGAGGTTATAACCCCCTCAAAATTTTAAAAATTATAATTTAGATTCCTATAATTTTCAAAACATTTAGTTTAACCTCCTTAAACTTTTAGAAATTTAGATTAAAATCTAAATTTTTTTTGAATGTTTTTAATTAAATTTCCTCCCATAATTTTTTAAAAAAAATCTCATTAAACCTCTAAAAATTTAAAAAAATTTAATTAGACCCTAATTTTTTGGGAAACAACTAAACCCTTTAAAAATGTTAAAAATATTAATTTAAGCCTCTAAATTTTTTAAAGTTTTAAGTTACCCCAGACTCTATCACTAAGTTTCGCCATTGAGGGTCTAATCTAATTCTACGACAATAAATTAGTTGTGTTACTAATATACTAATAATATTATAAAAATATATAAATTAAATTATGTTAAATTTTTGTAATAGTTTAGAAAGAACAACAATCCTTTTAATTACTAAGACTACTTGATAGGTTCATCAAATAATGTTAAATTAAATTGTTAAATCTCAAATTTCAATCATAATACTAGGATTAAGATTATAATTATAACTTAAATTAAGTTTAAATTTTCAAGAATATTCTTTTATCTACCTTATAAAGCTTGTAGCCTTGTATCATGTTAATTTGAATTTAAAATTTAAGGTAAAATAAGTAAGAGGTCGTTGAATTATGCTTAAATGATTATTTTGATTATTAACTTTTAAAAATTACAAAGACACCACTTAATCTATAGATGATATCTATATGACCCCCACTCCCCACACACACGCGAAGCTGATTCACAGTTTTGCTCATGGAAGCGGCAAGTCCATGGACCCGTTGCCGGCCGGAGCGCCTGTCCCACCATTACTTATCCGGAACGCAGCTTCCTGAGAGCCCAAGAGGTCTAATGGAGTGCTTCAGCTCTCCAAGTGTCCAATGCCGTTGCCCCTCCTCAACATCACCATTCACTCATTACTATCACTCCGCCTCCTAAGTCTACCAGCGGCTCTTCTTGCACCACCACTTCTATACCCCAAGACGTAAAGGGTGAGACCGATGAGCTCGATAAAACCGCCGCTGTTGCCAATCAGTTCTCTTTCACTTCTACTACTTCCACGTCACAGCTCGTTCTTGAACGCATCATGTCACAATCGGTAAAGTGATTCTAACATTAGTTTCGTGTTCCAATAAGCACCGGGAACTTAGGATTTTGCATGTGCTTTGATCATTATTTTTAATATTTTATAATTTGCATGTAGGAAGTGTCACCATTAACACCAGGGAGGCTCTCTCACAGCAGCGAACCTCTGGTTAATGATAATAATAGCCCTCCAGTTTCCCCATCCGAGGAATTCGATGATGTCGTCAAGGTATATTGTCCATAATTGCTGTACAAGTTGAGCATATCCATATTTAGAAAACAATGGCTTTGTAATTTACGATTGTTGCAGTATTTCCGTACCCACAACTCCATACAACCTTTATTCAATGGAGGTGGTCGCGCAAGTGCCGGTAATGGCTCGAATACACCCAATGAAACAAAGTCAGTAGGGAGATGGTTAAAGGAAAGGAAAGAGAAAAAGATAGAAGAAACCAGAGCTCACAATGCACAGATCCACGCTGCTATATCAGTCGCTGCAGTTGCCTCCGCCATAGCAGCCATTGCAGCCGCCGCCACCGCATCTTCTTCTTCTTCTTCTTCCACCTCGGGAAAAAATGAGCAATCAGAGAAGAAGGACATGGCCGTGGAATCGGCATTAACATTAGTAGCTGCGCAATGCGTGGAGGCTGCCGAAGCCATGGGAGCCGAACGTGACCATCTTGCTTCAGTTGTGAGCTCTGCTGTTAATGTTCGTTCACCCGATGATATAGTGACTCTTACAGCTGCTGCAGCTACAGGTTAATAGATTATTCCATCTACTTGATTCTCAAGAACCTTCATTAACGGAGACATTTTCTTTTGCAGCTTTACGTGGGGCAGCGACCTTAAAGGCAAGAGCAAAAAAGGAAGTACGGAACGTTACCGCAGTTCTTATGGCGGAGAAAGGAATAAGCTTTGCGAAGAGCAATAACAGGCATTCAAATGGCAACCATAGAGGCGAACTTGACACCGGGGAGGATTGCCTTAGTGCCTGTAATCAAGAGCTAATTGCCAAGGGTTGTGAACTTCTAAAAAGAACACGAAAAGGTATACGCGTTTGTTCATTTTTTGCGTAAAAACATTCAATCTTAAATATTACTTATATTTTGTTTATACGCAGGCGACTTGCACTGGAAAGTTGTCTCGGTTTATGTGGATAAAGCAGGCCAGGTACTCGTTGCTTTAGTCCCAACACATCAGGAATGTTACCACTTACCACTTAGACAATTAAACTAGGATTACATCTCAAATATGAGCATGGTAGAGGGACCAAAACTATATATAATATGACCATTAAACTAACATAATACCATCCATTTAACTTCTGAAGGTGATTTTGAAGATGAAGAGCAAGCATGTTGCTGGGACTTTCACCAAAAAGAACAAGAGTAAGTTTGTTGTGCATGGTATCCCAAGATTGCCAATGTTGGTACAAGAAACCTGGGATTATCATGGAAATAATAATAATAATAATAATACTTTTGAGAGGGAGTTTCAGATGTGGTTTTGGAGGTGTGCAAGGACATGCCGGCATGGCCAGGAAGACATTTATTCGACGACAGAGAACAGCGATATTACTTTGGATTGAAGACCGAAACAAGAGGGGTGGTAGAGTTTGAGTGTAGGAGTCAGAGAGAGTACTATCTGTGGACTCGAGGAGTCTCGAGACTATTGTCGATTGCTGCTGGAAGGAAGCTCAGGTGACAAAGCTTAAGTAATAGGCCTCTTGGTGGCAAGAATTTAGAGTAATTACCTCATCTAAGAATATACTGCACAACTACTGTTCTATTATAACTACATAGTGTACAATGTTATGGCATTTGCGTATGCCTGCCAACCTATCGACCTGCTGCCATGGAAACACAAACGTATATACATTCATATAATTAGCAGCCATTCAACCTAGATGTCCCAGATCCCCTGTTATTGACAAAAAATAACACAGTGAAATCAGACAGCATGAGCATCAATCTACATAAAGAAGACAACAGGAAGATTTTGGTGATGAATAGGAATTGCTTATAAGCACCGTGGTTTCCTTCAACTATCTGCTGCTCTTAATACAGTGAGTGGTGGAAATAAGAGATTAATTATGTCCAAATAAAGAGCTATAGCAGCCCAAATATATTGGTCGTAAGCGCTTGATTAAGTTGTCGGTATTGTACATATGATATAACAGCAGAATATGACCGAGGCCAAGCACTCATAGATCATCACTGACAATTTACCATTGGGAAGAAAATCTGCAAACAGGAAGACATACATTCCAACAATGAGAAAACAACAGCTAAATAAACATGGCAATATCATAATACCTGGATCAGACCGAAAACCATGAGAACAAGGACAGCACCAAACACCACAACCGTGGCCTCTCCTTGCAGCCCAGATGGTGTAGAGGGTGAGAGCCACAACCACCACAGCAGTCAGAATCACAGGTTCCAAAATAACTTCCCCTGTTAGCAAACAAAATGCACATAGATTTAGTTAATGCAATACTACAACCAGTAGCTTCCAGAAAGGAATTAACTGCATTTGCCAACTATACAGTGAATTAAGCTACTCCTAATATATACATATTGAGATAAAAATGCACATGATATTTGATGAAACACAAATGCTGGGCTAAACCATTGCAGTATCCAAACCCATAGAAATAGCAATGACTTGCAAATAGGAAAAATAGAAATTATAACAAAAAATCCATTCTCAAAATTGAATAAGCATTTAATTTAGTATTAACTGTGTAATCAGTTTAAGATCGTTGATGTAATTCAGAAAGAGGTAAAAATCATAATCCTTTAACGTGAGTATGATGGCTCAAAGATAGAGCAATTGCTATAAAATTCAAAAGAATAAATCTAGCCAGAATTATAAATGAAAAAAAAAATATTCAAAGTCCATATCTAACCATGGGTTCTTGCTGATTATGAGAGCGATAATCTGGACCTGTCAGATCCCAAAAGCTTCCGCAAGCTTGAGAAACCAATGGGCTGTCAGACACTAGAAGGAGAAGAGGAATTTAAGACAAGGTTAATCATGATAGCTATTCAAATAAATAGCTGCCTATCTTTGTCACACATGTAGTTGGTGACATTCAGATTAGCAATTACTAATTACACTGTCATGTAAGATGAAAGTTCATACATGTGATGGATGTTACTTTCTTTTTTACTTGATCTCTGAGATGCATGCGTCAAGTTGTATATCTATGTTATGCTTACCATTCCTATTATCTTTAATCTTTCAGATATGAGAGCTGGGATGACCCAGAGGTCCCAAAATTTCATTATGGTTCTCATTATTCTAGTGCTGGCATTGTTCTCTTTTATCTTCTTCGCTTGTCACCATTCAATGTGGAAAATCAGAAACTACAGGGTGGTCAGTTTGATCATGCTGATTGTCTTTTCAGTAGCATAAGTGATACTTGGTTGAGTGCTGCTGGGAAAGGTAACACATCAGATGTGAAAGAACTCATTCCAAAATTCTTCTACATGCCCGAGTTTTTGGAAAATACCTTCAGTCTTGACTTGGGTGAGAAGCAGTCAGGGGAAAAGGTCTGTCCTGGTTGAAATTTTTAACTATGGGTTGTATAATGTGATAATAAAATCTTCTTTGTAAAGTGCCAAATTAGTGGTGCTGTAAGACTAACAAACCACTCATTTTCTGTTGTTTCATATTCCCTAGGTTGGAGATATTCACCTACCTCCTTTGGCTAAAGGCAGTGCTAGGGAGTTCATCCGGATGCACAGAGAGATCTTAGAATCATAATTTGTTTCAGAAAATCTGCACTATATAAACAAAGGGGAAAGGTAGGTTTTGGCATTCTCTTGAAGCATATTTTCACCTCCATTGAATTTTCTAAAACTGCAACGCAATTCGAAACTCAGACACACATACTTAAGAAGATGTCAAAATTTCCTAATTGTTCAGTTATATTCTCATCGTTCCGCTTGTAATGCTGTATATTGTTGTTACAACTGACAGGCTGCTGAAAAAGTTGCTAATGTATTCTACCACTACACGTATGAGGGGAGTGTAGACATAGACGCAGTTAGAGATCCTTCAATGAAAGCTTCCATTCTAGCTCAGATCAATCATTTTGGACAGACACCAAAGCAGCTATTCCTCAAACCCCATGTTAAAAGGCGGTCTGACAGAAAGCTTCCTCCCCATCCGTTGAAAACACCAACTCTTCTTGTTCCACATGAAATACGGAAAAGCTCTAATTCCATTACTCATATTGTCAGTTTCCAAGAGATAGTTCTTATTGGCAAGGCAAACACTAAGCTTAAACCTAGAATGTATTCCAAATCTATAGCATGGGGTTTTCCTGATCTCAGCTTGAGATTTTTGAGCTTTGACCAAGATCGACTCCTTTCGACTCATGAGAATCTTCATTTAGAAAACCAGACTCAGTGTGCTGGCTTTAGTCATGATGGTCACATTTTGGTCACTGGCACTGATAATGCTTTAGTTTATGTTTGGAGGATCATTGAAGACAATCCACGTACCTCAAGTCAGTTGCTGTTAGAGAAAGTGCTTTGTGCTCACAGATCCAAAATCACATGTCTTCACGTCAGTCAGTCTTATATGCTAATTGTGAGCGGATCAGATGACTGCACAGCCATCATATGGGACCTTAGCTCCTTACGATTTGTTAGGCAACTTCCTGAATTCCCGGCTCCAGTTTCTGCAGTCTATGTTAATGATTTAACTGGTGAAATCATGACTGCTGCTGGAACTCTGCTTGCTGTTTGGAGCATCAATGGCTGCTGTCTAGCAGTAATTAGCCCATCCCAGATTCCATCCGATTACATACTCTCTACGACAAGTTCGACCTTCTTTGAATGGCTGGACACAAACTGTTACATAACAGGCCATCACGATGGGACTGTTAAGGTCTAGCAAATGGTTCACTGCACCGACATAGAGACGATAAGCAACTCGACTAGCATGGGAACTGGAGGAGGCTTGCCTTTGGACCAGTCACCAGAATACAGATTGCTCCTCCACAAGGTACAAATGTGTCATGAGCACCCGGTTACTTCCCTTTTCTTAACTACTGACTTGAAGCAGTTACTGAGCGGTGATTCCGGTGGCCATTTGCTGTCGTGGACATTACCACCCTGAAAATCTTCTTACAATCAGGTTAGATAATCTTAAAACAGCTGTCGACTGATTTTAATCTCCCGCTTATGTTAAAACCCTTAACTATTCCAACTTTTTCTATGACAGAAACACTGATTCTTTTGTTCATGATACCATGAAAAGCCAAAGCAAGACAACAGGGCAGCTGGGATAATTTGTAGAAGATATAAGGGTAAATATCTTCAAACCTTCCATACAAAATTGTGAAATTTACAAGCATTGCGGCTTCTATTACTATGCATTTGCCTGGTGGCTTCAGCACTCCATTGTGAACTTGGAATGACAGGCTACGGCTTTCTCGTATGTTTTTTTTTTAAGTGGAGGATATTGCTTTTGAATTAAAACATTATATTAAATACATCAAATATTATTTGGACAATTAATTTGGGATGTACGCTACAGGACGCTGTTCCAAGAATATAAAAGTCAAAGGCATAAAATATCCATGACGAGGGTAAGTGCTATATGACGAGGGTAAGTGCAATTGAGCAGTAGAGCCCAGATACTGGCTGGCTCTGCAACTAGTAACCCTTGGTTCGGGTCCTCCCAAACTATCCGACCCGATCAAATGGCCCCATTTGCTTCCCTCCGGCATCGACGCTGCGTGTACCATCCTCCCGACCACTTTATTCATTAGGTCACTCTCTCCCAACGCGATTCTGGCATCCAAAAACGGCGCCGTGCATCGCTCCTTGGCGAAGCCGATGCACTTTTCCTTGGCGGCAACCAAACAGTCTTCCATTTCACGGTCTTCGCAGCGCTCCCTCTCCTTTAAGTCCATCGATTTCCAGCCAGTGAGGGACTGCCACCAGGGTGGTTTGCACTTGCTGGAAGCAGTGATGGCACACCCGATTCTAGCACCTTCCTCGCATTGAGCTATGATTTTGGACTCGCAGGATTTGTGTGCGGCGGCCCAGGAAGGAAGGTCTTTGAAGGCGAGGATATATGGACCGTATGACAGGTCGTCGGAAGTCCCAGCCAGGATGGGGCCCCGTAGTAACGGAATTGGGCGGTTGAATTTTACGGTTGTCGAGGAAGCGGAGTATTCCTCCAAGCTTTGGGGTAACTGAGGGTCCATTCCTTAGAGACCGATGGGTGAAGATCAAGAACTGAGAAGAAACTAGAGTTATCTATTAACCAGATTGGCTCGACTTTGTTATACAATCTACCCAAAGAGGCACCGAGTCAATCAATCAATCAATCGAAGGATTGAGCACCGAACCAAAAAGCAAGAGAAATCCATATATACCTGAAATCTCAGGGGTATTTGGATAGGGAATATGTGATTCTTATAGGAATTGAATCTATATTTTTTCGTTTGGTTAGTTGGAGAATCTCATTTTTGGTAATGTAAGATTATTAATAGTAGATTTTTTGGAGTATATTACTGGGAATGTCATTATCTTCATTTTCTTAGGTATTGATGAATTTCTGACGTTTTAGACTAAAATACCTTTAATTTTTTTTAAATATCATTTTTCTGTCATTGAATAATAAAAATTCTACAAATGTTAAATTACAAATTTATCTTTAAATTATTTTAGATTTACAAAAAAATCTATAATTAAACTTTTATATGAAGTTCAGGGGTTAAAATAAAATTTTACCCTTTCATTAAACCTTGTTATATTTTTTATTTTGTAAAAAAAATTATATAAATTTTATGAATTTAAATTTTTTAAAGAAAATATATAAATATTTTTTAATTTGTTAAAAAAATAAATATATAATAAGGATAATTTGGTCAAATATACATTTCAATAATCTTTTATTCTTTTAACTAAATACGGTAATCTTACATTCATGCTAAACCAACTAAACACAAAATACAATATTCTCAGTAATTCTATTCTCTAATAATCTTCTATTCTCATTGGTAATCTTCTATTCCGTGAACCAAACGCACCCTTAAAGTATAGTAGCTGTGCAATCGGCATCAACAATGAGCAGAAGGTGAGAGAATAGAAGCCAACGACCACAAAGCCAAGCAAATCAAGTACAGCAAAATCATTGAACTGAAAAGAGAGAAAAGAACCCTAAAATTGAACAGAGCTGGTTTTAAATATGCCCTTCGAAGTTAACCAAAAACATTTTTTTAAAAAGGGTAAAGTACACATTTCATACCTAAACGATTAGTTTTAGTCCGTTTTAGTATCTAAATTTTCTGTTTTTTTAAAATTATACTTAACATTTAGTTTTTATTTCATTTTAGTATCATGTTGTAAAAATTTAACGTGTTTAGTATCTAAACTATCACATTTTGGTCTTTTTTAGTACTTAAACTTTCAAAAAAAAATCAAAAACATAATGTTAAATTTTGAATGAGATACTAAAATGAAACAAAAACTATTTTAGGTATGGTTTTGAAAAAAAAAATTAAAATGTTAGGTACTAAAATAAACTAAAATTAATAGTTTAAGTGTAATATTTTGAATCTTGGGTTAGTAATTTCAGGTTAACTCGAGTGGGTTTAGATAAATCCATTAATCTTGTAAGAGGACTTGGATCAAGTTAGTTTTGAGTTTGGGTTTGGATTTGACCCATCATGATATAAAAAAATGTGTTTTTAAGATGTGACCAAAACTAAGAGGATCAAAAGAACAACTATACCACTTTTTAAAACAGAAACTGAAAATCGTTGTTTGGTAAATAGAATGTAAGATTCTGATGGGAATGAAATTCACATTTCTATATTTTGTTAGCCGGGAATCTCATTCCCGGTAATATTTTATTATCAATAGTAGATTTTTTTGGGTATATTACCGAGAATGTCATTACCTCCCTTTCTTTAGGTATTGTTAGATTATCAGCGTTTTGGACTAAAATGCCCTTAATTTTTTTTCCTCAAATCTGTCATTGAATAATCAAAATTCTACAAGGTTAAATTACAAATTTATCCTTAAACTATTTTAGATTTATAAAAAAAATTATATAATTAAAATTTATATGAAGTTAAGGAGTTAAAATAAAATTTTACCCTTTCATTAAACTTTTTTATATTTTAAATTTTGTAAAAAAAATATAAATTTTATGAATTTAAATTTTTTAAAAAATATATATAAATATTTTTCAATTTGTTAAAAAAACAAATATATAATAAGGACAATTTAATTAAATATACATTCCAATAATCTTTTATTCATTTAACTAAACACGATAATCTTACATTTCTACTAAACCAACCAAACACAAAATATAACATTATCAATAATTATATTCCCTAATCATCTTACCTTCGTACTTATAATCTTATATTCCGTCTACCGAAGGCACCTTATAGTTTGATAATATCATGCTTGGGGTTCTCTTTTCCCCCTCTTCTTTGTCATATTCTTCTCCCAAAAGCCCTCGTCTTCCTCTTCGGTAACCTAGACAAATTTGGTAACTTGGTGAACTAGCAAGGTTAGTTTGAGGTTCTAAAGGTAAGAATCTTAATCCTCTCCTCTAGGACTTTAATTCAAACCTATTAACCGGTAAATTTCTTACACACAGTCCGCCTCCGTGAATTAGCGTTGATCCTTCAAATCGAACGTGGAGAGCAAGCGCAGGCTATTCGTTAGATAAAGGTAGATTTCTTTATCAAATCTAAAACAGGATCTTAGCTTCCTAACCATAGCTTGATTTTGCAGCTCGAGAAACTTAATTAATGGCGAACAGGAATCAAATCCCCACTAGCAACTCAGCTCGTATTGCAATGATTGCAGATGAGGTGAGTATGCCTAAATCAGTACACAGATCTCGGCTTCTATCGGGTAAATTGGTGCAAGTTTGATGCATGTTGCTTCCACTTAGTAGTTAGTAGTACCGTGCTAGGCGATCTGCAAACTCAGCTTAATCTGTTTGTTGTTTTTTATGAGTATGAGAAGTAAATACCATTCAGATTTAGCTCTATGATGAATTATCTCAAGTTCGTTACACCATAAACTTCATGGGGTGTTTGCAATTTTCTGAATGGTTCTGGTATGTTATAGGAGAAGTTCACACTTCTATATGGATTTAGCTGTGCTAGCTGATCTGTAAACTCATTCTGCTTTTTTTTGTTGTATGTGGATGAATAGTAAATACCATTTAGATTTAGCTCTATACAAATCTTCTTAAGTTCATAACACCATGAATTTCATGACGAGTTCATAAGTTCACTAGCTGCCATACAGTTTATTGGATTCCCCCAAAACATATTTATTTGGTCATTTACCATGTTTCCTCATTATGTTAGCTACAGCAAGCCTGTTCCAGCAATCCTGGAGATTCCATCAAAGGATCATCCGTATGATCCGGCACATGATTCTATTCTTTCACGGGTTAAATACCTGTTTTCTGCAGAATGGGTGGCATCTGGGAGGCGTTAAATGCAGATGTACACTTGTATGGCTCCACTGTCTCATCATGTTTCTATTCTCTTCATGCTTTGAATATTAAGGGGCGTTTGGTTAATGGAATGTAACATTACCTTCGAGAATAAGATTACTAGAATATTACATTAGTTTACATATTACCAGGAATGTTACAATATTGTGTTTGGTTTGTTTGACAGGAATGTATGATTACAGTGTTTGGTTAAAGAAATAAAAGATTACTGTAATGCATATTTTACCAAATTGTTCTTATGATATTTTTTTAACAAGTTGAATTCCAAATATTTAAATGAAAATATTTATATAAAAATTCATAGAAAATATATTATTGTATTATTTTCAATTTATATATTTTTTTTATTAAATTTAAATTTATAAAATTTATATAAACTTTTTACAATATTTAAAAGATAAATGGGTATATTAAAAGAGTAAATATGTCATATATTCTTTTAAAGTTAATTAATATTTAAAAAGTTATGATAATTTGTGAAAATAAATTTTTGAAATAAATTTGTGAAAACAAAAGATTATATCTTTTGAAATAAAAGTAAGGATATTTTTGAAATAAATCTTTTGTTTCAAGGGCATTTTAGTCCAAGTTAAAAGGAAACAAAAATACTTAAGAAAAATATTGGATTAGCATTCCTGGTAAAAATAAGAAAATTTTTTATTGTTGGGAATATTTTATTACTCCTTATTGGAAATATTTTCCATCCAAACGTGGGAATTTAAATTTGGGAAAAAAATTCTCATCCAGAATCTTAAATTCCATAATCCAATTACGACATAAATTACTCTTTCCAGAGAGTTGGTAATGATTCTCATCATAGTTTCCATGAGTTACTGTACGAAACCTTTATTAGAGCGAAGATATGCTTTAATGGCCATTTGAATTGAATGAATGATGTTTGAAGAAACTTTTGGAGTCGGGAGGGGATATGCCTTCTTGTTAACAACGTAATTATGGTTTGATTGAAATGCACTGTTAGCTTGAGATTGCTGAAATCGTGTGGAGAAAACTAAACTGGGCCTTTGATTTAGTGCAGTGAGCCTATTAGATTATTATTATTATTATTAGAATAAATTACAAAATTCATCAGTGAACTTTACTTTGTCTCCTATTTTGTTAAATGAATTTTAAAAATTTTTAATTTTCTCACTGAACTTAATACTTGTATTATTTGGGTCAAAGAACTTGACACCCTCTCTTATTTTGGTCATTCCACTATTAAACAATCAAGGGTGTTAAAAACAATGTCGTTTTAAAAAAACTAATATTTTATGTCATTTTGTATCTATATAACTTGTCATTTTAATGACGTTAGCTACTTAATGTCAAAATTATTATTATTATTATTATTATTATTATTATTATTATTATTATAAAAGTAAAATAATCCTTAAGTCATAATTATTTTATTTATGCTTATGATTGACTGATAATGATAATTGAATAATATTTGTAACATATGGAGGGGAAGAGAATTCGAAATCAAGAAGCACGAGTTTTCTATATGAAAGAAGGATACACCTCATCGTATCTATTATTTACCGCAGTCAATGCACAAAGGTGAGATTTCCTAGAAATGACAACTCATAAGAATCTCTACCAAGTTGAACAAATACAGAAAGATGCATTACCCACTTATTTTAACTCTGAAAATTATTGAAGTTTAACCAAAATATTTAAATATTATCTCAATACAAACCATTAGGGAGAAGAATGTTAATAGCTTGATTGGGTTCCATTAAGATGTTCAAGGAAGAGCAGATTTCAAGGATTTGGTAAAAGTCTCTAGTTCCTTCAATCCTTCCTCAGGAGACTTGGCTTCACCCAGCACCTTTACCATGGCACTGCCAACGATCACACCGTCGGCTCCCCATCCGGCTACCTGTTGATCATGACATACTCGTTCATGTTATCAACATTCACATAGAGGCAATAACTTGGAAAATATACATGCATCAAGTTGTGTTTCGAAGACCAACCTGTTTCACATGTTCAGGTTTCGATATCCCAAAGCCGACTGCAACAGGCTTGGTTGTTGCCTGCCATGGAAAAGTCACAAAGTTTCAAAATGCAAGTAAAAGGGGGATTCAGCCATCAGAATGTCTTAAAAGTTTAATAATTTGTTGCCTAAATACAAAAGATATTTATAATGACTTCGACAATTGCACCGAGCACAGCTCGATCTAATCATGGATCATAGAATAGTTGTGAATGCTAGTTTATTACTTGGCATTCTAATTAGTGATATAGTGACTCTTCTTGTCAATACAAACCTCCTTAATTTCGCTTAAAAGAGTCTGAACCCGATCGCTTACAGATGCACGGGCACCAGTAACTCCGATTGAGCTCACCTGAATTTCCAGCAGATGAGAGTAAAAAAAACTTATCAAAGTTCAATTTTTCTTTGTCACGAAACTTGACATAAAAAAATCTGGTAAAAAGCATAAGTAATCAAGGAAAATAATACGAAAAGTGTCATCAAATTCGGAAGAGGATCTCTTACAAGATATACAAATCCTTCTGATGCTTCAACAATAGCTTTCATTCGGTCTGTCGGTGTAGTTGGTGTTGTAAGCAGTACCTTAACCACACGTGCAGATAAGCCATATTAGATTGACTTTTATTCCAGAAAAGAAAAGGGGGAACACATGATGCAGTATGGAAAATAACATTTAGGGTCGCAAAAATAAATGAGTTGCAATGGTTTATCGGATAGCTAATCAGTTCCTAATTATGCCTTCAAAGATCCAATTCTGTAGTAAATCCAGCTGCTAAGAATGTTCTTATAGTGAGGCTGTACCAGTTCGATCTTATTTTTTAGAGCTTCTCTTCTCAAAATTTCAGTCTCCTCGAGGGGAACATCCGGAACAACGAGTCCTGCAAGTAATTATGGAATTATCGTCATAACCACACCGTACAAATGTTGGGAATCTTAATAAGAGCAAACATGCTAATCTCCTCAATGAAAAAACTTCAAGTGATACATATCCAGCCTATGTTTTGGATTAGATAAAAGAATCCCAAGATAGAAACAAAGGCAGCACAAGCAACACCAAATTTCATATTCCTTTGTCTTAACAAAACCCTACTAATTTAAAAAGAAAGCATAATCATAACCACTATTGGCTACAAATGATGAAATGAAGCCAAATATGTTGTGCGAAGGAGCTATTCACAATCATAATTTACGAAAAGGCACTGTTGAATCATTCATCAGAAATTCTAGAAAACAATCAAAAGCTTAACTATGGCACAATCAACAGTCAACAGTTATGAAAGCAGTACTTGTCCAGTTGATTAATTGCAATGACACTTATATGCTGGAATAAAGTATTAAACAATCTCTGGAAGTATAGCCTGATAATTTGAGTTCAAGAAATATATAAGAGACATGGGGGATAATAGAATAGCAAAGAAGTTTTAAATTAAGCAAAATCATAACATGTTTACCGTGTATGCCTACTTCCTTTATAGTGCACATAAACCGCTCAACCCCACGCTTCAGAATTGGGTTGTAATATGTAAACAAAGCAATTGGGCAAGATAACTGTGGAACCACCTGTACAATTTAAAAATACATGATTACAAATATAACACTCGAGTTAGGAAATAAACATAGGTGCCATGGCAGTGGACAATTGTCCTACCTCCTTCAACATTGAAAGAATAGCATTAAAGTTAGTTCCTTTTGCCAATGATCGCGTAGCTGCTGCCTAAACAAAAGAAACATCAATAAGATTTTTGAAAAATAAATAAATAGATTCACGAAAAGTACTACATTGTTAACAGACCTGAATCACTGGACCGTCAGCCAGAGGATCTGAATACGGTACACCCAGCTCAATTATGTCCGAGCCACATGAGTCTAGCACCTTAAGAGCCTCTGCTGTTGTTGCAAGATCAGGATCCCCAGCTGTGATGTAGGGGATGAATGCAACCTTAGGAAATAAAATGCTTGTTAGGGTAGACAGCAATCTTCAGCAATCAAAGCCTAAGGTATTGTAGACTTGAAAGCACAAATTTCATGTCACTGAACATAAACATTTTTCATCGTTATTGAAACAATTTAGGGAGCTTAACATAGAAATTTGGTTCAAGAAAATTGCATCAAAAGGCATGTTCGTGTGTGAATAGCAACTTTGTCGCCATAAAAACTTTCATCCTTGATAATTTTTTCTTGAACTTTCAAAATAACTAAGGTATTCTTTCATCTAGAGTAAAATTTACATCATCAAGCTACCACATCATCTTCTTCCAAATAAAACCACATCACCTATCTAGAATCTCCAAACTAGTCTAATAAGGCAATGAAGTCCAAATTCGTAAAAAAAGGGTAAACTAAACTCTAGCTACCTTACTGTTACAGCCCATGAAAGAATCAATCCAGAAAAGGATATTACCCTAACAAACCCATGAGTCCTCAAATGCAAGCTAAGTTTAACTATAAATTCAGAAATGTAACACAGAAAAATAGATTAGCATAATATAAAGTTGGCATATTTATGTCATAATAAGCCGATTTAATCAATTTCTTACACTCAACTTACAGCAGTAAAGGAATACACATGAAGTCAAAAGGGGGGGGGGGGAATGCTTACTTTGCCCTGTTTTTTCAATTCAGAGAAGGTGTCAGAAAGGCCAAGAGTTGGAGCAGTAGTTATGGCAGCCATTGGAGTGAATCTCTTAGTTGAAACAAAGGCTTTGCCGGAGGAAAACCGAGATGGAGGAGAGATGGTATTGTGGTTCTTTAACTGGCGAAAACCTGCAGCTGCTGACTTTAGAGAAATAGCCATTACGGTGTCCCTTCGCTTTTTTGATAAAAGGGTCTCTCTTCTGATGTGATTTGTTTATTCGGGGTTAAGGGTGATGCCCCGTTTTAAGCAGATTTTGCTGGGTAAGGATTCACCATAAACCTATTAATCTAACCATAATTTGGCCGAACCTAAAAAGGAAAAACCCTAATTCTATAACTTTGGGTTGGTGGAATGTTTTTCTTTTTTTTCTCTCAATAAAAATAGAGTTTGTTTTTATGTATGGTTAGCCAAG